AAACAGCAGGGAGAGAGCTGAGGCCCGGTTTACGTCGAGTGTCAGGAAGACACGGGAGAAGCACGACGTCAGGCACCGCCAACAACAGCCAAACACAAACAAGAAGGCCAGAGCTGACTGTTCCAGTTCTGTGAAAGCCGAAGAACGGCTCGCGTGAAGCAAAGCAGGACTGATCCCACAGGTTTGATGTTCTCTGAGCCACAGCTGCGTTGCACGACATCCACATGTTGCAACATCTGCTGAAAAGCTCCTCCCTCAGAGGGAGGCTGACTGTGGGCGAGCCAGGTGGAAACGGTCTGTGGTACTTTGTGACAGGATGGATCAGGTGACCCTGAGCCATGTTAGATGGAAGTTCTTCCTCCCCACCATCACCATATGCAGTTTATATGGGACCATCAGCTTGCAGCACGAAGCAACTTAAGACTGTTGCTGTGAATCTGTGCCGAGACAAACCCACAGCCGTGGGGAGCTGTGGGCAGAGCACCACCCATGATGGTTTTGCTGGTCAGAGCTGACGGTCTGGGGTCTCCTACTCTCTCTTCCTAAACTCCACGTTCGCTCTTGGTTGGGTGGGGTTGGGATGGGTGGGGGTTTCTACAGGAAATGATTTCAGAGCTTCTCTCAGCAGCGCAGGAAGTGTCCATCCTCTAACAACGCTCTTTCCCCAACTTCCCCGCTGCAGGCAGGTCTCAGCGTGCCTACAGGAAGCTTCTGGTGAAAACCATCAACGCTGCGACTTCCTTCCTCTCTCAAACAGTCATAACGTCTCAGAAGTTGGACTGAAACTGACACAGAGAAGGTAAAGCCGCCGATTCCTGCTGCTCGTCTACAGAATAAACTCAGCAGCTCTGCCGTCAGTCTTTGTGGAACGATCAAGTTTGAGGGTTTCCGTTCAGGTCAAACAAACTTTATCCAGCATTATCAATAAAGCTACACACGCTTTTCTCACAGGAAACAGCCTCCTCACAAACACGTGCGACTGACACACCGAGTACAGAAGAACATGTTAGCTAAC